TAACCACTCCCTGTTAAGTCTTCTATAGGAATCTTTTCATAACTCCATTAGCATTTCTCATATTTAAATTGCAATTATTTGGTTACATGTTTGTATCCTCAACAAAGGTGAAGTCAGGGACTCATGTTTTGTATTTTCCTCTCCCCAGTACTTGGCAGAGTACCTGGCAAACAGTACTAGCTCAATAAATGTTCATTGAAAAAAAGTAATTAATAAGTGGATCTCTAGCATGAAGATTGGCTAAATTATAAGCTACATTTAGAAAGGTGATTAGGGTGACAACGAATATGGTCTCTCCTCAGCACGTGGACACTCTGGGAATGGGAGTCCTGCCCAAAGCCACATGCACCCCTTCTAAGGCTGGTCTGCAACTTCAGCCAGAATGAACCAAGAACAGAAGAGGGGCATATGATTTCCTTATGAAACTTTCAGTTTCCATATATGGTTTCAACTTTTCATATACTATCTAATCATTTATGTGACATCCCCCCTCCAAGTCCTATACTTCATTCTTCATCTGAATTGTATGCAAGAAAACAGTTATGAGGGATTCTCCATGTAAGATTGCCAGAGTCAGCAAATAAAAGTACAAGATACTCTGTTAAATTTAAATTTCAGCCAAGAAAAAGTTCATTTAATTAATTTCAGCTAAACAACAAATATGTTTTTAGTATAAGTATGTTCTGTGAAATATTTGGGATATACTTATACTAAAAAATTAATTACTCATTGTTTATCCAGAATTTACATTGAATTGGACATCGTATATCTTATCATGCAGGCCTATCTCCAATTCACTTTTTGGCAAGGATTAAGAAGGCACTGTGTAATCTGCATGTTTGCTGTACCAAACAGAGCTAAAACATAGGTGAATAAAGTGGGCCATAACATTCTTCAGAGGCCAATGAGAAAACAGAGTAAGCACAGATGAATCTGTAAACAAACAGGCTGGTAGCTGCAGTGTTCCTTGCCTGGCACAGGCTTTTGGCCAAGAGCAGCCACTGAGCACATACCAGTGCAACATAATGACATAGTTAAAAGCAGGAACTTTGGAGTCACATGTTCTTGGGTTCAGTTCCCTGCTCTGGCTCTTACATGATTTGCAAACCCAGGCAAATTCCTTAACTTATCCAAGCTTAAATTTCCTTATATAAAATGAGGATAATAATGGTAGCCTCCCAATAGCTTGTTGATATATTGCATCTAGTTTGGTACCTGATCAGAGTAGGAAGTCTATTATTATTAGTCCTAATACTGCTTGCATGGCTAGGTGTCACTCCCTTCCCTGAGACAACCCAACGTGGAATGGAATGGGATGGAATAGAATAGAATAAGTCTATTATTTATTTTTTCACTTAATATGTGCGAGGCATTGGGCTGCTTTCACAAAGTTTCTAACCCAATCCTCATAATCCCATAAGGTATCATTATTCTTATCCTATATCCAAGGCAAAGAGAAATTAGGAAATATTTTAAGGTCACGGGGTGACACAGCTTATAAGTGGTAAATCTGAAACTCAAACTCAAACTTCTGTCTGATTCCAAAACACATGCTTTTAACTTTAAACCACTAATACATAAATTGATATCTCTCCATGAGGTTGCCAACCCAATTGCAATTCTTCCTTACCCTAAGAAAAAAACTCTGATGATTTTCAATTAAGTATTAGAAATGTCCACACAAATTAAAACAGACCTTATTTCCTTCATTCCCATACTTTCTTACCAAGTTAGAATGGTGTTACGAAAGAAAGTTCTCATCTTACATTTTTTAGTTAGGGAAAAACCATCTTTCATAATCTCTGTTTCTCCTCTACCTAAAGTCAAACTCATTTGCTTATGCCAAATGAAAAATAAGTCACAGCTTCTTAACTGCTATGAATATGACACACATTAAAGTGTGTCTTTACAGTTTATCTGATATTTTATCTTTGTTATCTCCTATGTGTTTAAAACAGTGCAGACAAATAGGCAGGAAGTTATATTACATCCCAATTTTACAGAAACTGAGATTCAGAATGGTATCAGTCATTTACCAGAGTCACACAGACGGTAACTGACAGATCATTAGAGAAGTCCGGGCTTTTCTTCACAAAATGACGCATTAATTTGCTTATTTGTTGGGTATCTTCTGAGTACAAGATACTATCCTAGAAACTAGAGTTATCTCAGTGAAGAAAGTAGACCAGAATCCTTCACTTCTGGATTTTAACTTCTTTTAGGAAAAGAAACATTAAATCATCAAACAAAAATAGTTAAGTGCTAAGAAGAAAGAACACAGAGTGTATAAAAATAATATAATAGAGGAATCTGATTTGGATTAGAGTGTCACAGAAGTTTTCACCAAAATAAAAGAGACATTTTAACTAAGACCTGCAGCTAAGAGGAACATACTGAGAGAAGAGAGGGACAAGAACACAGCGAGTAGAGAAAATGGAGGACCGGCCTAGAGGTTATTTAACCAGGGCCACACAGTGGGCTAGTTAGTGCTGATGACAGGAATAGGGGCCAGCCATCCTGATGCTCAGGACTGTGCTATTTGCTTGACACCAGACCATGGATAGCAGCTGGTTCAGGACTCACCTGCATGCCCCATCCAGGTGCTATCCCTGGGAAGTCGCCAGACTATCTTAACAACATCTATATCCTTCACTTGCCTCTACAGTGCCCTTGGGGTGAATTAGAAAAATAATTGCAAGGCAAACACAGCCATATGTCAGGATCCATGGCATGGCTAACAGAGGGCACTTCAATGTCATTCCCTCTCTAGCCCTGAGACAAGCACACTGCTCAATCATAAGAGTGGCCCTGATGGGGTAAATCTACCTTGCTGATAGCTCCCTAATGGGGGTGACTATCTCTATATCACAACCCTTTGTATAGGACAGAGGGTCAGAGTCTACTTGAGAAGATAGGTTGGAGAGCCTGGGGAGGACCCTGCACACAAGGTGCAAGCCTCTAGAGCTACCTGACGGCTTTTGGTGCCTTGTCAAGAGTACTTACTGGGGAGGAAGAGGCATTGGCCCAGCCTTGGCTCTGAGACACTGGACAAGCCTCCTTTTTCCATTCCCCAGTTAATTTGCCCATTTATAAAATGGTCCTCTGACACACGTAGGTATCCCCAAGTCCTCATCCCAATTAACTGGATTTACATTATAGCATTCCTCAGGATAACCAGTATCACATCTAGACCTGAGACAAGTTTTATCCACTTAAGTGCATCCAAAAGGAAAGGTATCTTATGCCTGAGATATATAGCAACATCTCAAATACAGTATTTTGTTTCATCAAGTGCAAGTAAATTTAATACAGGTAACAATTTTTTCTTTTCTTTTTTAAGATAGTAAAGGTAGACTTTATTTATCAGGGACCCTGGTGATAGGTATAGGGACTACCACAGTGGAATCTGGTAGTAGGGGTAGAGATTGGACACAATCAACTTCCAAATTATTTTTCTTTTCTTTTCTTTCTTTCTTTTTTTTTTTTTTTTGATGTTTGCTATATTCCTTTGGTAATATGTGTTCAACTCTAAAAAGATAGTTTTGCCCTCGAGAAACTGATAGCCTATTGGTGAAGACATTTAAATAGGGACCTATCAGATATATCAGAGGATCACCTACCTCTGCCTGGCACAACCAAAATAAACCTCCAGAGAAAGTGAAGTAAAAGCTGAGATCAATGCCAATCCTTGAGGATTCAGGAGTAATGAAACACTCTGCCCATAAGAGACCCACTGGCTAGGAATCAACCTATGTGTCCATCAACAGATGAATGAATAAGGAAAACGTGCTACATATGCACAATGGAATACCATTCGACCTTAAGAAAAGAAGAAAATGCTGTCATTTGCCACAGCCTGGATGAACCTGGAAGACATTATGCTATGTGAAATAAGCCAGGCACAGAAAGACAAATGCATATCACACGAGCTCATTTATATGTGGAATCTTAAAAAGTTGAACTCATAAAAGCAGAGAGTAGAACGATGGTTACCGTGGGCTAGAGGTTGGGTGGGGGGAGTGATTGGGGAGATGTTGGTCAAAAGATACAAACTTTCCGTTAGAAGAAATATGTTCAAGAGATCTATCCTACAACATGGTGACTATAGTTAATAACAAGTTATTGTATACTTGAAAATTGCTAAGACAGTAGATGTTGTGTTGTCACCACAAATAAATGATAAGTATGTGAGGCCATATACATGTTAATTAGCTTGGTTTAGCCATTCCACAATATGTGTGTGTGTGTGTGTGTGTGTGTGTGTATTTCAAAACATCACCTTGTGTATCATAAATATGTACAGTTTTTATTTGTCAATACATAAATAAGTAGATCCACAGGCTGAAGAAGAGAGCTATTAAAATACCTAGTTCTCAAACACTGGGGTCAAGGGCTCTATAGGACAGATGATGAAGTAACAAACTCTCTCTGGAGTAGGGAGGAATGGTCATCAGGAAGGTTTCACAGAGAAGGGGGCATCTGAACTGAGCCTGAGGAGCAAGGAGGGACACTCCAAGGGGAGACGGAGGGGACTCCCAGGAAGAAAAAAGAAGAGAGCAGAGGCATGGGGGTGGGAAAGGACATGCCCACGTAACCTGGTGGGTTAGCTCAGAGAGGGAAAAAGCAGAGTGTACAGGGAGGGGAGTAGGCACGCCTCGCACCAATCTGATTTTGTGCTGGCTCCTTGACACTCATAAATAAATTTGCCTGGTATCCATCTCATTATCAATGCCAGCCTTGGAGCTACCCCCAGAAGATTCACTTTGGTACCATTTACAGATACAAATCAGAAAAACCAAGAGAGTTTTTCTTTCCCTATAAGAAAAACGTTTGGTTTGAAAGATAGGTCAGGGCTCATGAGTAGGGATGGAAGAGCAATCTGTGCAGACATCTTATGCAACAACCTAATTAAATTCCATAGCAGATGATGTCACCTATATATGCTCTATAAATGGAGCAGTATTTCAGGTGCACCTCAGCGATTTATCTGCACCAGTATCCAGTGGTACAAGAATGGCTATCTCAGTACTCCGGCTGACAATTGTCCTGGGACTGCTTTTCTTAATCCTGACCTGCCATGCAGGTAAGTGCTTCTGCTCACAGCCTGTGGACTGTGCAGTGGTTAGCAGTGATTGGAGGAGGTTAGTGGCACTGATCTAGAACCTAAAAGGAAGGGGGGGGCGCTGTGGGCACTACAGAAAGAGCACTGGACTGAAGACTAGAGCTGTACCTTCTCACACAAAGAAAGGATTTTTATTAAAATCTGCTTCAGTTATAACCTCTATTCGCAGTGACTGTATGAAATTTGAAATGACTTTTCCTTATACATTCATATGATGTAGTGGCAATACCATATTAGAAATTCTTTGGGAGCTAGGGGGTATTCAATTTTTAATGATTATACCTAATAATGTTCAATGATGAAGAATATGTTGTCTGTAATAAGACTCCTAATCCTGGTTCTACCACTAATCAGAAATGGGACTTTAGACATGCTATTCAACCTCTCTAGACCTCAGACATAAAAGGGAACACTTAACATTCTCCTAAGTTATCATGAAAATTAAATACAAGAGACAAAACACATTGGAACAGTACCTGGTCAATAATAAGCATGCAGTAAAAATGAACTGTTATTGTTATCCTATATAATCTCATTTGAGCTTCATGTAATCCTATAAGGTAAACATGCACAGTTTTATCATTTCACTTTCTATAGGTTAGTAAACTCAGCTTGCAGAGGGAAATTTTCTTGAACAAATACAGGTGGAAGTGGCACCTGGGAGTGAAGCCTACCTACGTTCCTAGACTGTTTCCATTATAACTGAGCATCTACTTCTTTCCTATCTGTCTACACACACAGAGGACCAGAAGGCAGCATGCAGCATTCTCATTCATTTATTTTTTGTCTGCAAAAGACTGAGCTCCTGAGTTATCTCTATGCAGAATAATAGGTCAAAAAACACAGGCAGTGCAAACATTTAGTAACAATCCTTTCAATGTAACTTGGCAGAACAATACAACAGAATCACTCTAGGGATGGCCACAGAGATTACTGTGTCCACTCTACTCCTAAAGCAGTCACCACAGTGAAGTGAAAGGTGAAATTTGGGCTGGGCATCATGGCTCATGCCTGTATTCCTTGCACTTTAGGAGGCTGAGGTGGGAGAATCTCTTGAAGTCGGGAATTCCAGACCAGGCTGAGCAAGAGCAAGACCCCGGCTCTACTAAAATAGAAAATATTAGCCAGGCATCATGGTGCATGCCTGCAGTCCCAGCTACTTGGGAGGCTGAGGCAGGAGGATCACTTGAGCCCAGGAGTTTGAAGTTGCAATGAGTTACGATCATGCCACTACACTCTAGACCTGGGTGACAGAGCAAGACTCTGTCTCAAAATAAATAAATAAATAAATAAAAGAAACGTGAGACTTGACATTGAAGACCAGTCCTAGATCTGTCTCTCATGAACTCTGAAACCGTAGTTAAGTCAGTTTACTGCTTTGAACCTCAATTTTTCATCTGTAAAATGGGATAATAATCAACTGTACCAGATCAAATGAACAGACTTTTATAATCACCTTGCAAGCCATAAGAACTGTGCAAATGCCACAATACAAATTCGGAACAAACACAGTGTGCCTGTATCTGTTTATATTGTCAATATTCTTTACATTCACTCTGTCTGAGAAATTCAACCAGGTAGTTACTATAAATAAAGGCTATCCAAACCAGGCAAAGTACCTCACACATGTAATCATAGTACCTTGGGAAGCTGAGGCAGGAGGATTGCTTCAGGCCAAGAGTTCAAGACCAGCCTGGGCAACATAACAAGACCCCATCTCTACAAAAAAATTTAAAAAATAGCTGGGCGTGGTGGCACATGCCTGTAGTCCCAGCTACTCAGGAGGCTGAGGCAGAAGGATCACTTGAGCCTAGGATTTTGAGGTTGCAGTGAGCTATGATGGTGCCATTGCACTTAACCCCAGGTGACAGAGCAAGACATTGTCTCAAAAAATTTAAAAAAAAATCCTATCCCATATTACACTTGAAAAGAGAAAATGTTTAACTATGGGCTTTGGTGATTTATTTCTAGAATATCAAATTTCTTTAAAATTTAAAAGCATTTTTTAAGATTTTTTTTAATATCCCAAGGCAATAGAGGACAAAGTGAATTATAAATCATTTTGTTGCTATTATTAATAATAGTAATAATAATACAGTAAACATTTATTGTGAGCTTACCTTGGACTGGTACTCTGATAAGTGATAAATGACACATATACACATATACGTATACACATACACATATATACAATATATAAAATATCTTTCAATCCTGACAATAGCGCAATGAGGAAACTGAGAGACAAAGTGGTTTAGCATTGTGTGCAAGGTACATAGCTAATTTTATTTGAAGATAGGAATCAGGTTTGCATGTGATCCACCACACTCTCAATATCTTTCAATATACAGGTGGCCCACAGGCTGAGGCCAAGAATCTGATCTTCACACACTCCAATCCCAGGCTCCCTGCATATTGAAAAGCTAGCACTTAATGTCATATTAAAATAAAAAGTCAATACAATTAAATGGTTATGCAAGTAGATAGTTAAAAACACGGAAAAAATTAACTCACCTTTAATGCAAGAAATTATTGTCTTGCACTTGGCAAATGTCTTCAGAGAACAATAGCTTGGAGTTTGTTATATAATGTGAATAACACATTCTGGGGAGTTAAAAACATTCAGCCACCTGGCTCAGCCACTTTCTAGATGAGTGGTTTTAGGTGAATCACTTAATTTCCCCGAGTATCTGTGTTCTTTTCTATAAAACTGTGATATTATTACTGAGCTAAATGAGCATTAAGATGTGTGATGAAAGCACTACCCCAGTACCAGCAGAATAGGCATCCCATAAATGAGTTCTGTTTACTTTTTTCCATGATGAAAACAAGCCAATTCTTCTGGGAACTTTGGCTTCCCAGTACTTTATGTGAGGGTCATATCTGTATTTGTCCCTTTTTACCTTAACTCTTAGCACAGCTATGCCTATAATGGTAGGCTCAGAAAACACTTTTTGAATGAAAGGACCAACAGGTGAATGAATGAATACTTGATGATTAGTATTCTGATTTTGTTTATAAGTCTCAGGATAATGCTCCTGTCAAATCTTTGGTTGTGGCACAGTAAACAATAAATGTTTGCAAAATTGCATGACAATCTTTTTATAAATAGTTTCTATTTTGGGATATAATATAGATGTAAGGCTTCTGACATAATTTGACAGCCTCCATACAAAGGGTAGTTACATTTCCTTCATCCAAAGTCACGGGGGTACATTGTCTAGAAGTTGGGACTTCATGGGTCGAAACTTTTGGTGGGCTTGCCAGATAAAATACCAGACACCCAGTTATATTTAAATTTTAGATAATCAATGAATAATCTTTTAGCATAAGTGAGTCCTAAATATTGCATGTATTATTCTTATACTACTAAAAACGTATTTGTTGTTTATGTTTAGATTTAACAGAGCATTCTGTATTTTTATAAACCAAATCTGGTAACACTACTTGCTAGGCTACAATAAAATTAAAAAATAAAGTTCCTACTTCATCCTGTCATCAGGGTCCAGAGGGGAGGTCACATGTAGTTACTGTCATTCTTCCATCTCTTCTCTTCTCCTGAAAATAAAGACCAATAAGCAATGTCAACACGCTCCGAGGGACCTTGCATCTAACCAAGCTCACTCTCTGCATCTTTGGCCCTCGATCCAAAGGGCACTTGATTAAGAATCAAGTGTGGACTCCTGCAGTTACAGTTCCATCTTCTCCTCTTACTGTTTGTGAGGCCTTCTGCAAGTCACTTAATCTTTGCAGCTTCTCAGGCCAGTAGGCTAAACATGCATACCACATAAGTTAGTCAAGGGCAAAATTGTATCACATTTGTGAAATCATTATTTACAAAACTTTTAGGTGATATGCAAGTGATAGAATTTCTCTTTGCCATCCTTATTACACTATTTTGAATCTTATTTAAAAAGTACAAATTATATCACTTTTTGGTCAAAGCCTATGCAGTTCATCACAGAATGCCTTGAAATCCAGATTTTAATATAGATATGGGTTTGAATCATATTTCTTCCACTTACTAACCCTGTGACTTTGCACTAGCTTCTACTCTCTCAAATTCCATTTCTTTACCATTAAATTGGAATAATTTTGCCTGGCTCATCATAGAGTTTTTGTGAAGATTAAATGAGCCAGTGCTTGTAGATTGTCTGTCACAGGCACATGTTCAACAAATGCTACCCACTACTCAGCCACAAAAAACAAAACAAAACAAACAAAAAAAAACACAATGGTGATCTAGCACCTCTTGTATTACCCTGGATGGAACTGGATCCTAATGTACTAAATGAAGTATCACAAGAATGGAAAAACAAGCACCACATGTATTCACCATCAAATTGATATCAATCGATCACCACTTACTCTGCACATATAGTAATAACATTCATCAGCTATTGGGCAGGTGGGAGCAGGGAGGAAGGGACAGGTATATTCACACCTAATGGATGTGGTGCTATTTGGGGGACAGACACACTTGTAGCTCTTACTTGGGTGGTGCAAAGGCAATATATGTCACCTAAAATTTGTACCCCTGTACTATTCTGAAATTTTTTAAAAAATGCTACCCACAGACATTTTGTCATTATTATTATTGCCACAGGTAAGCTATATTTCAATCCTGGCACCAGCACTTACTGCTGAACTCTGGGAAAACTACTTAACCTCCGTGAGCACCAGTTTTCTCACTCACAAAATGGAGCCCATGTCTACCTAAGTATCAACGTCTGTCGTTTTGTTTCTCTGTTTTTAGCAATAAATGAGATAATGCATGTGAAGAGTTTAACCAGGCAGGCATCAGATGTTCAATGAAAATAACTGTATAAGCCTTCATAATTAGTGAGACGGGTACAAAGGGACCCAAGGTTTCCCTGCATGAAAAGAGAGTTCTTGTTGCTAAGAATCACCTCTGAGATTCTGTTCTGTTTTTCAGATGATATACCAGAAAACAAGCCAGAAGACTCAGGCAAAAGCCCAGAGAAAGATTTCCCCAAATTCCTAAACATCCTAGGCACAGAGATAATTGAGAATGCAGTCGAGTTCATCCTCCGCTCCATGACAAGGAGCACGTAAGCACCGAGACAAACCTTGCTTTTTGTCCGCTTTGCTGTTGGTAATGACCACGTCACATTAAAATGAATGAGAAACAAAATTTGTGGCGCATGCAAATGTATGCTTTTTTTTTTTTTTGAAAAATGTTGGCCTACTTTAAGATATGTTTTGCATCTGAATGAATTGCCCTGAACTCTTCTGGGGTGAGCACATTCCCATCAAATGGTTCCGTATAAAGTTGTTCATCTCGGGACCAAACAGGGAGGAGGAAGAGCCCTGCTCCAGGGGGCAGAAAGCCAAGCCCTGGCCCTGACTCAGGTGCTCCCTCACTGCACGGTCCTGGGCAAAGCCCTCCCTCTCGGAGTGCCTCTGTCTGCTCATCTGTAAAGTTAGAGAGCCTCCGCCCACCCCATTCAAGCACTGTGGTTATGTGGCGAAGGCAGGGGGTAATGGTAGGTTCATTAGCGATAGGAGTGATGAGCCCTGTCTTTATTTTCTAACTTGAGTAGTTTAAGAGGCTTAGCAAAGACAGTAGATCATCTCTCATTGGAGACAATCTGGAGATCCTCTCAAAATGAGTGTTAGTTTCCATCATAAGAGATTGCCTTAGGGGCAGATCACAGATCACCCAACCCAGAGAATTCCCAGCCCCTGTGCCCAATTCCTAACACATCTTATTCCAGCCTACATAGCTCTGATTTTATATTATACTACTAGTTCACCCTATTCTTAACTCTCCCAACACTAACCTCCCAATTCAGTACTCCAGGATCAAATTCACTCTTCAGAACTTCCAGGTGCTTTTAATCTCCATCACTTTAAGCCCTCTGCTCTCTCAGTTTTATTTTCATAGCCCCCTAAGCAGAATTTGACTAAGTGTGGTTTATTACCCACCTGTTTTAGAATCCCCCAAAGAACTTACAAAAAAAATGCAGATTTCTCCTTCCTATCTTGCATCCCCCCTAGGGGGCAAGCAAGGCTAAGGGCATGCTTTTTAACAAGATTTCCAGGTGATTCTGATGTACAGAAATTTTTAAAAGCCATGCCCTTAATCAAATACTCTAGACTACATGGATGGTCCTTAAAGTTCCATATAGCATTTAAATTTTTATTCATATTTTGTGCATATGAGAATTTTTGCATCTTGGTGGAGAATGTATTTCTGACCTCTGTTAAATTCTCAATGGGGTCTATAACCAACAAAATATTAAGAACCACTTCTACATATTAGTAGAAGTAATGGGGGTCTTGTTGTAGTCACTGATCTGCCTAAATCAATTTATTATGATCTGGCTGGAGAGGTTATGCCTGCAATCCTTCTCCACAAATCGTTAAGCTCACAGATGTTTCTTTTTTATTGTTACAAGTCCCATTTGTGGTTTCTTTCGCAACTGTTGCTTTCCCATGATTGTTAATGTAAACAAGAAGGAAAGTAATATGCAAACAATGAGTACAACCCATTATGTACAAAGTACAGATTATACTCCAGTTATGCTACAATTATTATATTAACAACATAGCAAAGCAAAGAGTTGGAAGAATAATACTTCTTTTTTTTATTCCTTCCCTAGAGAATTTTCCAAGTATAAAAAAGCACATTTTTCCCCGTGTTAACCGTAAAAGTTGACTATCTGATATGCTAAAAAAGTTACTGTCAGCTCTAGGCTCAGAAATGGAGCCTCATCTACCATTTCCCCTTTCATTTGTTATATACCAAAGTGCATGCTTTTCTACCTTGCAGTTTCCACATTGGGAATATTGACTATAATTTAATGACTTCCAAATTCATATTCCTATCGCATTCTTTTTCCTGAGCTCCAAACTGAAATAACTGATTGCTTGCTATAAAACTCCATCTAGGTTTTCCACCAGTATCTCAAATGATAATTGACTGGTCTAAACCCAAGTCAATTATCTCACTCAAAAACTCACCTCCTTTGGTTATTAATTCCTATCACCATCTACCCAGAATCCAGAAGCATAAGGATCTCATTTGATCCTTCCAGCTCATCATCACCTTTGTGCAGTGGCTAAATATTCTACCCTAAATTTTTTTTCTATGTCATTCCTTTTCCTCAACTCTACTATTTGGTCAAGTTGAGTACCCCATCATTTCTTTCCCAAGTTCCTTTTATCAGATTTCTAATAATTTTCACTGCACTGTTTTCTGTGTTTCCTCATACCAACCCATCCTCTACCTACTACCAGAACAACATTTCAAAAATGTAAATTTGGTCCTATCACTGCCATGCTTGAAACCCTTTCATGAATTTCCATTGCCTACACAAGTGGAGCAAATGCCTTAGGCTGCTGTTAAAGACCCTTCCCTGATGCCAATGAATCTTTCAGTTGTATCTCTCAGCCCCTAAACCAAACTCCTGATGCCCCAATGACAAATTAATTTTGTCTTCAGAGCAAGTCATATGTGTATAAACCTGCAATATCTATGCACATGCTTTTTTTTTCCTGCCAGCAATGCCTAGCCCGCAAGCTCCAACCCCATTGTGTTCACCTGTCAATCTAATCATATTCTGAAGTCCATTTCAAAAACAAAGTCTGTGAAGAAGTCGCAGATGCCCACAATTAGAAAATTCAGTTTTTCATATTCAGGGATTTCATAATGCTTTGTAGGGATCTTCATAACAGGTTTCCCCTCACATTGTCTTAAATTACTCATATCTGAGTGTGTCTCTTTTCTCCAAGAAACTATAATCTCTTTGAAAAACCATATTTTAGTCATCTTTCACCTCTCAGCAGCTACCACAGTGCCCAAGCCTGGAGCAATCGGGTATAGAGTTTCTGGCATTTAGCAATGACTCTGGAGACCCAAGTTTTAAACTTGGCTTTGCCATTTACCAGCCATGTGGTTTGCACAGGTTGTTTAATCTCTTTGAACTTCAGAGCTTTCTTCACACATCAAAAAAGATTTAAAAATTTATTCAACATCTATTTATTAATTTATACTACATGCCAGGCGCTGTTCTAGGTACTGGGAACATATTACTGCAAAAATATACCAAAATATATGCTTTGTGGAGTTTATGTATAAATAGACATCAAACTATTAATAATAGGTTTGTTATCAGGTTGAAAGATATAATTATATGTAAATGGTTTGTCCATTATGAACTATTATGCAAATCTATTATGGAAATCTATTTGGATTTCTATATGCAAATCCATGAAAAACTATTATGGAAATCTTATTTCTTTCTGACATAGGACTATCTGGAGAAGAAAAATGTGGCTCAAACATTGTAAGACACCTTTGTGATCATTCTGACACTGCTGTTCAGTCTAAATCATAATTCATTATTTTCTCTTAATTTTTTTGTGTTTTCAAGAGGATTTGTGGAATTTGGTGATAAACAAGGAGAACATTCATCAAAGTGACCTCCGCAGGTGATCTTTAACTTACAATTTACGATTTAAAAACAGCATATTAGACAAAGGAAAAGGGGCCTGTCTGTCTTTTATTCAATGGTTTTGAGTACTCATGCCTATCTACAAGCAGAAAAGATGTATTTTTTTGTTCTTGCTGTAGTTTGTTTGTTTTTTTTGTTTGTTTTGTTTTTTATTTTGGCATATTATGGGGGTACAGATTTTAAGGTTTCAATAAATGCCCATTTCCCCCCTCCCCCCAAAAGTCTGAGTCTTGTAGTTTGTTTTTAAAATCAATTTTAAATCCTTCTGCTAAGGGAAGAGGCATAATTGTGGGGATAAATGAGAAAGCACTGGGAGTTAGGACACACGTGTTGGGAACTTGCTTTGAATCAGTCCAGCCTATGAAATGATGGAATAGTACGCACTAAAATCTAAGAACCCATGTAATCATGCAGTTAGTTACTCATGAGAAGAGTAAAGTCTGTTGAACCTCATTAGAGGAGAAAGAGGTAGCAATCTGCCTGTCCCACACAGTTAGATTTGTGTGCATTGTGGCTTGAGTGCTCAGAAATACCCGCTTTTTCCTTACTCAGCTCTCGGATATTGGATAGTGACTATTGAAAGATAAAAACAGAAATGTTTTAGCTGGAAAAGTAACAATATTGGTAGCGTGAATGAACGAAGGTTTTACTCTGTTTTAGGCATCAAGCTAAGTGCTGGATAGGTAGTATTTGATTTAACTCATAATCCTTAGGAAAATAGGTATTGCTATTTTTAAAATGTTATCAATTAAGAAATGAAGGCTCAGGAGATTTGTGATGTCACTATATTAATAAAGAAGGAGGGAAGGATTTGAACTCAAGCAGCCTGGTCCTAGAGTCCGTGCTCTATCTCTAGTCCATAGTGCTGCTGGAGAGCAGAGCAGAATAGTATAGGAGAAGGCAGTAGATAATAATGGTTAGTTATGTCTCCACATGTACATAGAAACGAAACACTCTTGATTAGTAGGGTTACCCTCTAATGCATCTCCAAAAAGCACAGCCTTTCCCAACTTTTATTTGTGACCCAGTCTGGAAACACTCCTTTCTCCTACTGGCTCCATTTGATAACTTGGGTATCATTAATGTAAGTTCAAAAAGCTACTATCCTATCACCCAGAACTTAGCCCACCCTTTCCCATAGGCTTCTAAGGATGAAAATAAGCCCTGGGCATTTGAATCAAGTCAAGACATGTTCAACCCAGACACTCCTGGATCTCACCCCAAAGCCAGTTAGACTTCTAAAGTACATTCGTTTATGTTTGCATGTCTTCCTTCCCATTTTCTCAGGGAACAGACAACCTCTTATTGCAGGTGGCCTAACACCTTGCCTTCATTCAGCCTGGTGATACACACCTATAATCATTAGTAGTCACACCCCAAACCCCTGGAGTGTCATCCTGGAAGTTCAGTGCATGAGGCAGTCCAATAGGCAGGGCACCATGGAGGAGCAGAAAGAGCAGAAGACATACAGAAGATGTAAGTTCTTCTAAATTGGGCACTTACTGGTTCTGTAGCCATGTTCAGGTCACTTCATCTCCCTAAGCCTCACTTTCCTCCTTATGAGTTTTATAAATGTAGGGAATTAATTGATCCAGATCTTAATGCCAGAACATTTTTTTAACTGGAACTAAAAAACTTGGATTAGATTCCTGAACCAACTTTAGCTGCCCAAATGAGCAGGGAGAAATGGCTCAATCTAGGGACATAAAAAAATTAGTTGCACAAAATGGTAGTTACGAAAAAAAAAATTGGACTAAAGAGAAGGAAGCCTGTAAGGGAGAGGTTAAATTTTGGGTGGTTTGGTCAGGAGTATCTCTTTAAACCCCAGTGACTACACATTTAATAAGTAGCTTTTAGAAGTTGCTTTTGTATGATAATTGCCTCATCTAATCAAAAGCAAGTCATCGCTTTAGAATTAAGTGATTCATAGCAATACCTGTTTCTCCACTTTAGAAAACTTGTTGAAAGTTCTAGCTGTTTCTTAAATGAAGATGGATAAATAGATAGATAGGTATCATGTGTTTCTCCTAGCAACTAAGATCTCTTATTTCAACAAATTCCTTTAATGCTTTTTTAATCCATGTCTACTATTAGATTTGGCCAATGCTACTAAAATGAATAACACTAGCTAGGCATTGAGAAGTCTGAACTATCACATAGCACAGCATATTCCATAACTGTGGAAAGAAATAATAAAGTTATGTATGAAAGGCTCTTGGGAATGCCCTGGAAAAAGGAGATAAGAGAGAACACCTGGAGGAAGGTGTGAGCATTATGAAGGCTTTACAAAGAGAACGTGAACTCCATGTGATTCTGCATGCAATCTCAGATGATGAATGGAGTGGTACAGTACCAGAAAAAAGTATATCACCTAATAATTGGATACCCGATTGATCTGAGACTCTCTCAACCTCTGCTCTACCATATTAGCATGATTTCCAATATGCTAAAAATTTTCAATAGACTTAAAATATCAACTCCTATTGTTCTGCATTACTTCAAACCACATGGATTCAAGTCATGCCCCTTTGTGCTTAAGTCATTTGACATCTTTAAGTATAAATGTCTTTTTCTGCATAAAAAAATCTGATGAACCTCACTAGATTATTAAAATTAATAAGAAGTAGTAGATGGGAAAGCACCTTATGAATTCTGAATTTCTATATGCATTTATTGTATTTAGGAAAAATCTTCTATGGACACACAAGATCTCATGCTTAGACTTGTTGAGTCAGAACTTCCTAGGGAAGGAGCTAGGAACAAGTAAATTGAACAGGGAAGTCTGATGCAGCTGATGAGCAAAACTGCAATCGGGAACAACATCACTTAACATACCCTCCATAAAGTCTTATGGAAATTTTTTCTTCTAGAATTTAGAAGAATAAAAAAATTGCTTCCCCTAAAGTCTGCTTCCTCTTTTCTGATCACAAGATTTATGTGACTTGGTGTATTTCTTTTTTTCTCCCATCTATCCAGAAACTCACCATGAAACTAGTGTCTTAATTTACCCTTATGTTTATTCTATGTAAATCCGTCCTTCCTCTGTTTCTCATTCTTTCTTTGTATATGTTGAATTTTTCTTTTTTGTTGTTGTTGTTGATCATTTCCCCAAGTATGTATGGATAGTTGAGTTCATTATAAATCCTCTTATATTTTAAAATGCAGAAGCATAAAACTTTTAAAGAAAAAGTTAAAAGGTTTTGGGGGGTTGGGGGAGGGTTCCCTCTCTGCTTGGTAATTGTTTCCCCTTCTCTGGCTTGTGTTTCAAAGGACACACCTGTCTGGCTCCTGGACAATCCAAGGGCAGTCAAACCCTGCTTTTCCGGTTCATCTCCTTCATGAGAGTTCCAGGACCAAGGCCTCAAAGCAGCTCTCAGGAGTTCTCAGGATCAGGTCCTGAATTCAACCAAACACAACTCATTTTGAACACCTGGCTTTGCAATTTTGCTCCTGGAAAGTCAGCATAACTGTTTACTCTTTGATGTCACGTACCTTAGTTCATGGAGAAGAAATTTGTTGGTGGTAATCATTTTTCCTGGGCATGTTCAAAGTTTTAACCACATACAAAAAAATATGAAATATATATGTGTATACATGTGTGTATATATATATATATATATATGTTTGTGTTATGAACCAGGATAACCAAAGAATGGTTCAAAATAAGAAAACTAAAGCTCAGCTAAAGTAACAAAGTCAAAGGCACAGAGCCAGTAAGTGGCAGAAAGAAAGTGACTCCAAAAAACAAGCTCCTAGCTCCTAAAAATGTATGAAGTTTTGGAGTTTAAAGTTTCCTACATATTTTTGGAAAATATTTACAAAAAAAGATTTGAACCCACTCACCTGTGCTAGTAAACTAAAATCTGACTTTTTTTTTTTTTTTTTTTTTTGAGACAGTCTCACTCTGTTGCCCAGGCTAGAGTGCCGTGGCATCAGCCTAGCTCACAGCAACCTCCAACTCCTGGGCTCAAGCAATCCCCTGCCTCAGCCTCCCAAGTAGCTGGGACTGCAGACATGTGCCACCATGCCTGGCTAATTTTTTCTATATATTTTTAGTTGGCCAATTAATATCTTTCTATTTTTTTAGTAGAGACAGAGTCTCACTCTTGCTCAGACTGGTTTTGGACTCCTGACCTTGAGCCATTTGCCCGCCTTTGCCTTCCAGAGTGCTAGGATTACAGGTGTGAGCCACCGCACCTGGCCAAAATCTGACTTTTTAAAAACTGAAAAGTTATTGCTATTCCACAGTGTCATTATTTTTCTCATAGAATAGCAGTGTCAGGGATGGAGGAAGAGTCCTTGAAAGTTTAGTGCAGCCCTTTCAAGCTACTACCTCCTACCTCGTTACTCAGAGCTGGGTCCTCTGCAGCCATTGCTGGGGGACTTGCCCACTTACCAGGCATAAAATCTGACCCAGCTGAGCTGGAAATACAGTATTCTTCTGCAATTATTTAATGTAGGCAGTAAGACAAGGCTGAAATCATAGAGCAAGATGACAAAGCTGTGCTCTAGTCTAGAATAAAAGTTCTTCTATATGCTTCTACTATGTTCTCAAGAGCTGTCCTGAGTCCTGTCCTTCCCAAAAATATAGACTCTGAAAGGAACTCTTGTGGATTTTCAATAAATCTTTTGTTTGTTTGTCTGTCTTCCTGTTTTTACTTAGCCAGAATAAGTTTACATGCAACTCAAAGAACCTTTAATAATACAGGTATATAAACTAAGAGTGAATACCTGCTAAATATTGAAAAATGCATGTTACTTTCTATGATAAATTCAGACAACCCCTGCTCTGCATTTTCTAGGGATTATGGCAATTTCATATGTCATATCCCACTTAACCAAATTACCTTATATTCAGTATCACACAGCCTGCTTCTTCCCACCAAATGTGGCTGCAAAATATCTTTTCAGATTTTGAGTCACTAATTTGTGCCTGGAAAATGCATATACTAATGTACTACTTATGTGTGAGACACAAGCCCTACAAGAGCTTTTCTGCTTTATCTTCACCTGTCTGTCACACACTTTGAATTTACTCTTTCATACTAAAGCAGATGAAAAAACAGGTACCAAATCAGTACTGAATTTGGTGCACTGCCAAGAGGGAGCCATCCAAGATTTCTGATGACCTGTAGAGATTTTGAAGCTATCCCAATTGCTTTACAGTAAATGTTTGCTCTTCCTACCCTTTGTGGCCTCCTTTCCCTACCCTACAATAGGGTACAGGTACAGCAGGTACACTTGATTTTAAAGATCAAGAATCTCTTTCATCTGTGTAGTGTTTTTCTTTTGCAGCCATTTCACACTATCATCTCACTGTAACCTCATAATCGTGATGTGATTGAAGCGAGCTACTGAGGCATGATTTTCCTCATATGACAGGTGAAGAAACTCAAGCTCAGGGAGGCTAATTGATGTGATGCCTAAGATACCCAAACTGTTAATGACGGCTGTTTGGGAGCTCCAACTATGTTTGTCTAACCCCTAACACAGCATTCCTCCATGACAACCTGAGGACACCATCCATACCATCACTATTTTGTCCCCATCCCAAAGTTCCTACCATGACTCAAGTACTCAAGGGAATTTACATCTTACTCTTTACAAAAATGCTGAGCAGAGAGAGTACTTCTTCTATTTAAATAAAAATAAAACTCAATGGAAATCAAGCATGGAGGAGTGGGAAGGATGGGGTGGGTGGAAACCTACCTAAGGGGTACAATGAACACTATCTGGGTGATGGTACACTCATAACCATGACTCAAACATTATAAAAGTGATCCATGGAACCAAAAATATCTGTACCCCCATAATACTTTGAAATAAAAAAAACATTGAATTATACACCTTAAATTGATGAATTGTCTGATATGTGAATTAAATCTCAATAAAGCTAAAATAAATCAATAAAAACAAACAAATAGGATCCATGTCTTCTGCCATTTACCATCTTATTGAAAGCAAAAGCTACATTTTTTAATTTATAGTTGAGTGAATCACATTTGCAAAAGCCCTGTGCCAGGTATCCCATGCTCCAGCCACCTGAGAAGGCCACGGTGGCTGGGAAGCCAATGAGAGCCAAGGAGGGAAGCAAGTCTTACAGGACTGTGCAGGTCATGGTCAGGATTTTACCCTTAAATCTGGGAACACTGGGAAGCCACCAAGGTATTTTAAGCATTAGTATGAACATGATCATTGTTGCATTTTAGAAATGTCACTTGGCTATTGTACAGACTAGACTGAGGGGTCCAGAGCAAAGCAGGAAGCCAGCTAGAAAGCTCCTGAGGGAGGGAGTGTCAGCACAGGTGGAGTGATGTGGGAGGACTCAAGAGAGTATTAAGAGGTCAGGTTGACAGGATGTGGTGATGAGCTGAATGTGATGTGTCAGGGAGAGGAGTATCAAGAGGGACTCCCAGGCGTCTGGCTAATACAACTGGCTACGTGATGGTGCCATTCAGGGATAGGAAGAACACTGGACACAAAATGGCCCAAGCCTTTCCTGGGCTCTTAGGATAAAAGTGCCCATGACAATAGCACCCAGTGCGTGGTTTTACCTCTGTCTACCTGTCTAGCTGTCCAGGCTCAGTTCATATTCCTCTGCTCTTGCTCACACAACTTCAGCCACACAGATGATGTTTCAGTTCTTTGAAGAAGCCAAGTTCTCCACATCCTCAGGATAGTCACACATTCAGCACTTTTTGCCCAGAATATCATTTGGCTGAGATGGCGTCTTCACATCTTCAAGTCCAAAGTTAAATGACGCTTCCATAGAAATGACTCAAAATAAAGCAGGGAACTTCTCGTCATTGTTGCCATTCTTAGATTCCAATTATTTTTCTTTATTGTTCTTGCTATAACTCATAATTATCTCTCTACCCACGTTTATTTTCATAGCTTCTGTGTCTCCCCTTACACTGAAATCTGTGGGGACGTGATTCATGACCATTTTTTTTATCACTGCATGCTCCATGTCTAGCAAAGATGCCGTGATCAATATTCAATCATCATTTGTTGAATCAAAAAAATATATATAGGAAAAAATAAATGACCAATAACAATCGTTATTATATTGCCAAATCAGGAAGGTTTTTATTTGATAAAGATACACAGCAAGCTAGTGACAGAGCAAAGGATGCACCTTTTAAGAATGCCTGAAATGAAGGCAGAGGTAGTTACTAGAAAGGAGGAGCATCAGGTAATCGCTGGTTAGTTGTGATTCTCCAGTTAAAAATTTAACCCAATAGAAGGTGTTGCTTCTTATATATCTCTTAAACATATACCTAAGTAAAATGTCTTCCTTGATTTTGCTAATAACCTATGAGCGCCACCTGCTGTCTTTCATCTGTCCCGACATCCTAAGAGCTCTTTACCTCTCTTTACCTCTCTTTGCTCTCTAAAATAAAAAAGAATGCAGCAAATAAATTGTACTTATTCGTCTGTTTGTATTGCCTAGCTTATACATGGGATCCAGAAATAATCTGATTAGTAACTTTCATCTCCTGACCCTCCAGAATATAATAAAAATGGATTTATAGGTAGGTCAGGCAGAACAGTGATACACTAGGCATTACCTTTAGTCCCTAACTGCATCTTTGGAAATGGAACTTCTCTGACCTTAGTCATTTCAGATACCAACTGCTCTTTCCAAATGAAATTTGTGAATAGCTTTCAAAATTTTGGACATCCCATAATTCTTGATCTTGCACCTCCGTTGCCAAAATTTTTCTGAAGAGATAAAGACAAAAATATGTGCAAATATGTGAATGTTCACTGTAGCACTTTTTGTAATAACAAAAAAATTATTAGAAACAATTTGAATACTCACATAGACAACAACTTAAATAAGGTATGGCTCATTCATATATGCATGTTTGTAAATGTGTAGAAAATATCTTGAGAAACATTACATCAAACTGAACGGTGGTTTCCTCTAATTTGTGGGATTTATTGAGGAAGGGAATGAAGGTTACATATATGTACATTGTAAGTACAGTAATAGGTCATTATGGTTATAATATAACTTATAATTATATTTTATATAATTATGTGTATATCCTACATATTTACATATTATATTATCTTTATAACAATTTTTGAACTTTTTATTTTGAGATAATTGTGATTTCCATGCAGTTGTAAGAAATATACAGAGAGATCTGGCATATTCTCTACTGATTTTCCCCAATGGCAGCACCTTGAAAACTATGCCACAATATCAAAACCATATAGTGACATTGATACAGACAAGATATAAAACATCTTCATCCCCACAACGATCTCTCAAGTAGCTCTTATTTAACACACTCACTCCCCTCCTGCCCCCACCTCCATAACCTTTGGAAATCATAAATCTGTTCATTACTTCTGTATGTTTGTCATTTTGAGAATGTTATGTAAATAAAATTAATAGTACTTACCTTTTGTGATTGACTTTTTTCCACTTAGCATAATTCTCTTTTTTTCTTTATTGTTTAATAGTATTCCATCATACAGATGTATGACAGTTTGTTTAACCATTC